ATATATATATATATATATATATATATATATATATATATATATATATATATATATATATATATATATATATATATATATATATATATATATATATATATATATATATATATATATATATCCCTCACTAACGCGATGTACTAAAAAGTACATTAACTGCTAGAATAGCCACTCCTTCATATCCAACAGTGAAGCAACGGTGTCTATCAGCGATTGATCAGCCTTCTCCGATGGAATGAACGAGGTCTTGGCCCACTTTGGAGCATATCATTAAACAACGACATAGTCCGACACGAGAGCATAGTTCCACGACGCTATTCGTTTGCGTGGTGCTGACTTTTGAAGTTGTGGTCACATGCTGTTGTTTTTGACAGTGGTGACCAGAGAAGTTTAAACATATGACACACTTTATATGTATGTTTACACAAGTATTGTTTTCGAGAGTATGTACGTTTATGGTGCATTTTATTAAATATTATGATATGAACATAAATATTTGTTGCTGATGTCATCAGATTTTCAGATCCCGGCTGATATGTTAATATCATATAAGGAAATAAGTACACTGAACGGTGCCCACAACAACCTTCTAGACGCGTCTATATGCGTAGAAACACCTTTCCTCGTATCAAGACAAGTACTGCCCACACCTAAGAATCAACACACCTCCATGCCCGGAGAACTCTTTCATATAGTTACAACATGACTTCCAAAGTGTCCAGAACCCCCGACTACCGGAGGCGAAAGAATCGGACAACGGCATTCACACCCATAGACACTGCAAATAAGGGCAGCATGCTTTCACGCACCGCTTCAGTTCCGGCGATTGCGCTGGATACCCCCGTGGAAGGTATAGTAAGCAAAACGACTAGTCAGAAGCCATCCTTATCACGAGCAACAAGGTCAAAAGTTTCTGTGGTAGCTGCGCAGAGCAATGTACCCCGGCGGCGATCCTCTCTGTCGACGGCCTTGTTGGCCAAACAACTATCCCGTAAGTTTTGAGGATTGAGTTGTAGTTGTATTCGGGGTGGGATTAGCTTCTACATGTGGTATTGTGAGAGTTATGAATAGTGAATTTATTGAATATGTAAAGGTGAAAAATCATCGTTTGTTATTTCGATAGAGGTGCATGTCTATATGAATGAATTCTCGAGTATAGTCGTGTAGATCAGTCATATCAGTGTCTAAATACTGAAAACACGTTTACACACACATGTATAAACAAAAGCATACGTATGCACACTCACACACATACACGCAAACACACACGCACACACACACAAACACACACACATATA